TTTGCTAAATTACATTAAGAGGCAATTAATGCTTATTTCTAAACTGTTTTGTATCCATCACTATTTCTACGCAGGTACTAGACTTGTACCTGTCACTGTGATATGGGTATAGTGATTAAAGGAGAAGTGACATTTTCCTGATACTTCAGGTTCTTGCTACTGGAAATCTACAGACAGACACAGGAAGCAGTTCACCATTCAAAGTGAATGAGAAGTTATTTTAAACATTGAAAAACTGAAGAGTTAATTTTTAGTTGTGTACAAAAAGCGACAGTGATGCACACTTGATTTACTAGAGGTTTTCAGAATGTAGCTTTACCGAACAAAAGCACCAGAGGGATTAATTCCATGTCCCTTTTAAAGTTCCAAACTTTAGATATGGCTAAGTATTTTATCCTTGATGAACTGAAAGAACTATGGGGATTTTACTAAAAAAAAACCAAAACCAAACCAAACCAAAACAAAAAACCACACACACAAAAAAACCAACCCACCCACAACAACAATCCTCCATATTTGTTCACCTTCAAGCAGTATAGGGTTGCTACCAGCCCAGGTATCCCCAGGACTGTCCCTTTTTTGAGGTAGCTCCCACAGGAAATCTGTATGGGTGCTCAGCACACATTGCCAGCTGCCCAGTTTTATGGACTCAGGATCATCCCACATGTTCTGGTTTTCATACCTCAACAGTAGCAACCCTTGGCAGATAGAACGGCTTCTTTCACAGTTGGTAGGAGAATGGTTTTGAGTATGTTAAATCAGGGGATTCAATGGAAAGTGGCAGGTACTATGATACTATGATCATTAGTAGTTATATTATGTTTGTTTTGAAACAATTTACCATATCTGACTTGTCATTTATTTAATAGAGGGTTGTACCTCCTGTGTCTTAACCTGCAGGGTCAAACATGCAACATTTATTAACTTCACTCTTGGTAGCTAGAGGAAGTATTAGAATCTTATTACACAATAATTTTGCTTGAAGGCTACAGCCTTTAGTAATTTTCAGTGCAGAGTTATTTCCCTGATTTTATCAGAATTCTTTTCAGAAACTGGAAGTTACTTCTCCTATACTACTCCTTCCAGCTGTCATAAGAGTGACCTGAACTTTGACCTTTGAACATAAACTCTTCACAAATAAAAAACGGTATTTGCAATCTGAATTGAAATCTCGTCACATATAGCAACATACTATGGACTGAAAGCCTGGTAAAGTATTGTAAGCAAAACACTAACAAGTCCTCAGCAAAAAAAAAAAAAAAAAACCCTCAAATTCTCATGTCATTTACAAATGTATAGCCACAAAATCAAATTACCACCACTTCTGGTCTAGGCCCAGTATCTTCAACTCTTTTGACACGCCCACGACCTCCTCGTGTTCCTCTGGCTCCACGCCCAGGACGAGGAAGATTCCCAAAGTTAATGTCCAGCTGAGAAGTTATATCATTAGCTGCTTTTCGGAAGATGTGGGAGTCATCCTCAAAATCCTCCTTTAACATCTGAAAGTGAATTTATCTGCAATTAGCATGCTGCTCAGAGCTTCAAAAAAAAGTTACTATATTACAAACCAAATAGCACACCAGTAAAGTCAGACTTCCTGGCTAGCCAGGAGCCCCTAAGTTGTGTGTGGCAGTGGGGGTAAGAAGGGAGACTATGACAGCTCCTCCATTCTCAGGCTAGCTCTACACTAGCTTGGGAGCAATTAAGCATAAGCACACAGGAAACTGCTATGCTAGCTCTATACCACCAAAGAACTCCCACCCTCAGAAAATTCTCTGAGGCAAGATCTCGACAGTTCCAGAGGGACCACACAATCTGGCCCAAGGCATTTACTCATGAGATACCCTCTCGGGGAGGAATAGGGAAAGGAATAAGAATCGAACACTAAAATTTACTTATCAATTGCTACCACTGATCCATTCCAGTACTGTCCTTGCTAGTTACAGCTCTAGTGTTACTGTAGCGGGCAACAATTTTTAGCATTAAATATAGCTAGCATACTAAAATAATATTTTCCAAAATAGCCTTTACAATTTCCCCATGTTTATTCCCCCCCTCACCCACCACTGTTCCTCAGACATTCTGGTCAACTGCTGGAAATGGCCCACCTTGATTATCACTACAAAAGGTTTTTTCCCCCCTGCTCTCCTGCTGGTGATAGCTCACCTTAAGTGATCACTCTCATTACAGTGTGTATGATAACACCCATTGTTTCATGTTATGTATATAAATCTCCCACTGTATTTTCCACTGAATGCATCCAATGAAGTGAGCTGTAGCTCATGAAAGCTTATGCTCAAATAAATTTGTTAGTCTCCAAGGTGCCACAAGTACTCCTTTGCTTTTTGCGAATACACCGGTAGTGCTACAAAGGTACAGCAAATCATATTCCCCATGTACCGATTCTGATGTCTAATAGATTGCCCATGTTAAGCAATACTTGTACCAGACAAGTCACTACTCCTCTAGGGCACGTTTCTTGCCATACTAGGGCCCCTTTACACTGCTGGCCATAAAGTCTACTCAGGAGTAAAATAAAATGTAAGGCACATTCTTCAGATCCTGTGAAAGATGGGTCCTAAACTCAGCAGGCTTGTAACTGGGGGAAGTCTAAAGCCACACTAAAGGAACACAAATGTAGGATTGTAAACAGCCTACTAAGTACAATCTGCCCAATAAATTATCACAGTCCAACAGTGACTAACATATGCTGAACCAATTTTTTAATTCAGATTCTCAGTGTGTAAGGGTCCCAGTCAAGGATCAAGCCCCCACCATCATGCCAGATACTGAACAGACACAGCGACTTCCCTTACCTGAAAAGCTTACAGTCTAAGTAGGCAAGAATCTATGGTAGAAATCTGGTTCCACTGACAACAGTGGGGCCCAAGATTTCACCCTACACCTTTAGTTATAACAGCGTAGTGGCTCTGAGCAGAACAAGAGTTATGGAAAATAAAACAAGCTCTCCTGGATCACTTTAAGAAGCAGAACCACAGTCCTCATAAAAATCATTCAGATGTTCTCAAGTGGTTCAGCGATAATTGCGTTGTGATAGTGACCAGATTCAGGACAACTTGGTATGCTGATGATGCTGGGAAACTGAATTTCCAGTATACACAGATAAAAATTCATTAGTAAAGCGATAAGTAAGCTAAACACTGGGTGTATCAAAATGTGATTCAAAGTTAAAATATAAAACATTTAGTAAATGGAGTTCACTAGTGCCTACAATTCAGTTAACAAAATTGTACATGAGGTGGCATAAGCAAGGAGACAGACTTCAATCTTCTAAAACTAAGCCATAAAGTAAGCAGAACTGAAACTTAACTTGGTATAAATACAACATGATAGGTCAAGCGTTCCATGCTCATAATACAAAAGGGATGCCTGGAGACTGGACAAAATGAATCTGATGGGTTTTTTTTGCACACTATTACAGGAGCTTGAAATATGAATACTTATTTCCAGTTTGTTCAGAATCTGTTTTAATATAGGAGACAGTGTCCTAACCCTGGATCTCCGGGTAGAAAGCAGAATTTAGAGAATTCTAAAGCAATGCTTACATCATCTCTATACTTTGACTTGTGAATCACCACTGCTTTGGAAGGAACAGTGGATTCTGGCTTCCGGATGTTGAATTCAGGCTTTGGTCGACTCTGTTGCTGCAGATTTTTCCACTCATCTAACGTCATTTCTTGAGCTGCTACTTCTTCCACTGGCTCCCCTTCAGCAACTCTAAAGGTTTATAGTTGTAAAGTAAAAACCATTAGCTTTGACATCCAAGAAGAACAAAAAAACCTGAAGTAAGACTACTTTGCTACGTACAGTATTTTGAATGCTTCAGATTCTCTGCCATCTCTGAATTGTATTTGAAGAACTTCAATACTAAAGAAAATACACCTGAAGCATAGACCCCGTTTGGCCAATATATCTAGAATGTCCAGGAAGATAGAAGTGTTCTCCTGCTGGCTTTTGTATGTTACTATTCCTGATGTCCAATTTGTGTCCATTTATTCTTTTACGTAGGGACTATCCGGTTTGGCCAATGTACCTGGCAGAGAGGCATTGGTGGCACATGATGGCATATATAACATTAGTAGACGTGCAGGTGAATGAGCCTCTGATGGTGTGGCTGATGTGGTTGGGTCCTCTGATGGTGTAGCTAGAGTAGATACGGGGACAGAGTAGGCAACGAGGTTTGCTACAGGGATTGATTCCTGGGTTAGTGTTTCTGTGGTGTGGTGTGGAGTTGCTGGTGAGTATTTGCTTCAGGTTGGGGGGCTGTCTGTAAGCGAGGACTGGCCTGCCTCCCAAGGTCTGAGAGAGGGAGGGATCTACAACCTATCCTGGAAAACTATCACCAGCAACTATGCACCATACCACAGAAACACTGACCCAGGAACCAATCCCTGTAGCAAACCCTGTTGCCTACTCTGTCCCCATATCTACTCTAGCCACACCATCAGGGGCTCATTCACCTGCACGTCTACTAATGTTATATATGCCACCATGTGCCAGCAATTCCCCTCTGCCAGGTACATTGGCCAAACCGGACAGTCCCTATGTAAAAGAATAAATGGACACAAATTGGACATCAGGAACGGTAACATACAAAAGCCAGTAGGAGAACACTTCTGTCTTCCTGGACATTCTAGAACAGATTTAAAAGTAGCTGTACTTGAACAAAAAAAACTTCAGAAACAGACTTCAAAAAGAAACAGCAGAACTAATATTCATTTGCAAATTTAAAACCATTAATCTGGGCTTGAATAGGGACTGGGAGTGGCTGGCTCATTACAAAAGCAGCTTTGCCTCTCCTGGAACTGACACCTCCTCCTCATCTATTATTGGGAGTGGACTACAGCCACACTGATCGAATTGGCCCTGTCAGAACTGGTTCTCCACCTGTGAGGTAACTCCCTTCTCTTCATGTGTCAGTATATTTATGCCTGCATCTGTAATTTTCACTCCATGCATGTGAAGAAGTGGGGTTTTTACCCATGAAAGCTTATGCTCAAATAAATCTTAGTCTTTAAGGTGCTACCAGACTCCTTGTTGCTTTTGTGGATATAGACTAACACGGCTACCCCCATATACATTGTGCACACTGAAGGTCTACTTGAAAGGATGTTGTTCATACTGTTACTTCATCCTCCTGCTCTCCACTCCTACCCATTTATTTTATCCAGCTGTTGAATGTTTTCATTAACTGAAGTTATAAGCTCCTGAGTGCAGGGATTGACCATTTACAACGTGTTTGCACAATACCTTGCAGAGTCCCGGAGTGGGGCCTCACGGCAGGACTGTAATAAAATAAGTTTGTAATTCCATTAGTTTGGTATCCCCGTATACATTTAAGAGACTTTTAGTAATGCTGCACATTGCTTTCCAATTCTGCTTCAGTTTCTCTTTTCTTTTTTTTGGATATAGCCCTTTACTAAGCATTAGTTTAAAGTGTCTTTTCCTCTTGGTTGCAGAGAGATTGCTTTGTTTGAATGAACAGTAGTATACAGAAGGGGGTGCGGCCGGAATCACAAACATATCTGCCTTCATAGCACATTACCAGTTATAAAAGTAGCCAGAGACAAACCTTAAGAGATGGTAAACACTAAAAACATGGGTTAGTTTGGTGACAGCAAAAGTTCTATTTACTTTACCTTCAACTGAAAAGGTTCAACCTACATTGTGTAACTAGCTGATGGGGGGTGTGGGGGGGTGGTCAGAAAACCACAACAACAATATATTTTAGTGCCAAAATTAAGGTTAAAATTAAGACAATTAGCCAAAGGGTTAAGAAAAAAGGTTAATCAAGCTAATAAGTGGTTCCAGAAGACCAACAACTCCGATAGGTGAGACATTCAACACTATCAGCTTAGCAAACAAAACTGAGAAATATATTGAATGAAATGCTAATGAGGATTTGGCTAAACCTATAGATTAGCTTTATAGAGCTATTAAAACGATAGTCAGATAAACAGATCAGCAAACGAGATGATGGGAATTGAAGGTTTCCTGAAGAAAGAATGATCAGAAGGAAATGTAGAACCACTAGTGGTAAACAACTGTGAATTTATTAGGTGCCAGAGAACTGAAAAAGGACAGATTTAATACCAAGAGTAAGTAGCAGATCAAGGAAATAAGTCTAATCTCAGTAAGAGGTAAAATAAGAAAATAGAGAAATATATCTGTAATTACTACTACCTACTACTCAAAAAAATGCTTTAACAAGTTCCTAAACCAAGTGTGCAGACAAGCCCCATAGAAGTCTTCCAGGTAATTGTAAAAATGAGACTTTAAAGACAATTGGAACCAGTACTATCTTTATAGTTTAATATATTAATGACATCCTGGAACATGTTCATACTACAGCATGCATATAGCTTAATAGTGTGCACACTATGTTAGGAGAGGCTGCAAACAAAAAGAAGCTAGAAAAGAACCTAGACAATTCAAAAATACGGGCAAATAGAACTAAGATAAGGTCACACTTCGATAAATAGAAGACAAACTATGCTGCCTGGCACCACCATAAAAATGAAAGCTGAAGAACAGTAACATGGACAAGGATCTAGTGATAATGGCAGAAAAGTTATATACAGGCTTGCAGTGCAATACTGTTAAAAGCCTTCCAGGTTATTAAATGCAAGACCAGGAAAGTAACAATAGTTCTTCAGCATCACAAATGCTATACCCAATTTCTGGGGTCTTTTTCCTAAAAGGATCAGTTCTAATAAACCGAGAAGGGAAGGAGTGACTAAATGGTTAGAGCTTTCAGATGACACTTGAAACCGAGTGCCTGACTGCAAGTGGTCATTAAAAGGCAGCTGGAATCACTGAACTCAAGAAGCCAAAATTACCTATTTATGTCTGGGAAGGTTAAAGCTATTCTGGGGCCCCTACTGAGTTGAGTTGCCTGTCCAGGAGGCCTCTGTTGCTACTGCACTACCTCCAAGAGAAAGGGGGGCATTAGGCACACAGGAGTCCCAAAACAACTGAAGTCATTTTAAACAGACTAAAACTAGGTTTCAGAGTAGTAGCCGTGTTAGTCTGTATCCGCAAAAAGAAAAGGAGTACTTGTGGCACCTTAGAGAGTAACAAATTTATTTGAGCATAAGCTTTCATGAGCTACAGCTCATTTCATCGGACTCAGACGTTCTTGTCAACTGCTGGAAATGACCCACCTTGATTATCACTACAAAAGGTCTCTCCCCCCTGCCGGTAATAGCTCACCTTACCTGATCACTCTCGTTACAGTGTGTATGGTAAAACCCATTGTTTCATGTTCTGTGTATTAACATCCCCACTGTATTTTTCACTGAATGCATCCAATGAAGTGAGCTGTAGCTCATGAAAGCTTATGCTCAAATAAATATGTTAGTCTCTAAGGTGCTACAAGTCCTCCTTTTCTTTATTCTATTCAACTAACTCCTGCTTCTGAACAGCAAAGGTCATAAATAAAGACACTGCCCCAGTCTGACTTTGTGCAAGAGTGTAGGTGTTAGAAGATGTTCTGAATAAATTCAATCCTTAATTATATATTCTGCCTCTATTAGATATGGCATTACTTGCTCTTCTAAAGTGTGGGCTCATTGTGCTGTTATCTTCCACCAGAGGTAGCCACAATGAGGCCCATATATTTAATACATATTTAGTTTGAACACAGCTTTGAGAATTCTCAGGATGAGAGTCATTTACACTGAAGTAAGATACCATATGATAGTGTGCCTTTCACAGAACCTTTGCATATACTGCTATCTTCCAGATTGCTGTGGACTTCTCCTACATCTAAATTCATTGAGGAGGAAAGTTTCTAGCCTTCTTGTCTGCAAGGAAAGCCTTAGCAGGGTAAGGAAATACAGACTGACTCTGCAGAGAATAGTCTAAAATAGCAACAGAGTATTAGCTCACACATTTAATAGTTTAATAATTAAAAGTCAACCGGATTTGCCCACTACAGTTGGGTGTACTTTTCATGTCTCTATGTTCAATAGAGAACTGAAGTTAGAACACATGTACTTACAAAGAAAGAGCTAGGACAGCTGGATTTGATTTTGATTTCAACTACCATGAAGAGGAAAATTATGTGAGACTCTGAAATATGACCCAGGACACTCAAGTAAAAAGGCTTAACTGCTATTTTTAATATTTAGCTCTGTTAAAGTGGTACAGTGCATACATAAGAATTAAGTTCTATGCAGACTACCTTCACTGCCCACATGATTTAAGTCTGCTGAAAACTAAGTTTCTGGAAACTCAACATTCTTAATTCAAGTTTGTTCAAGAGACTCTCCTCGCCACCAGTTACTTTAAACCATTGAGTAACCCAAATATGTTAATTGCACAGTTGAAAAATTTGGTCAACTTAGAATCTTTTAAAATATCTCCAACTTGAACAAGAATGTACATAAAATCATAGTGAAGTGGCTGGCAATAGCTAGATGCCTTCAACTTTTGTCTAATGGCTTACCCAAACACAATCAGTTAGATTCTTCCCAACTTCAAACGTAAAGGAATGTTGGCTGAAATGTTACTCCTTACTTTGATGTCACCACCCCTTCACTACAAGTTATTTGTGTTGGTAGTGTTCAAGTTGGAGATATCTAAAAACAGTTGAGTTGATCTAATTTTAACTTGATAATTAAGATCTTTTGAAGCAAAATTAATTTTCACATTTGGACACTGATCAGAACCAATGACTGAATATCAGGATGCAAACATCCATCTCAATTTACCTTAGTTTTAAGGAACAATGCAACACTCTTTCCAAGCAGTCATTTTTTTAACATTGGGTTTGGAGGAGGAAGACCACTCTTGGCCCCATATGAATCTCAAGGGAGAAGTTCCTGTTGTATAGGAGACACCTTTGATTGACTAATTCATAAGGGAATTTTCTGTTACTGTATTTCAATCATATCATCACTATGTGGTTCCACAAGAGGGGTTGCTTTACAAGATGTCTGTTGTAATATTTCTAAAAATAAACTGGGAATTAGAACACGTTATATCAGTTATATTCCTAGTAGGGTTTAAGAGTAACTTAGAGAGCACTCTCTCTCTTACTTAAATACAAGTTCATATGTTACAGAAATTTATCATCTAAGCTACTGAGCTAGAGGGTTTTGTTTGTTTGTTTTTTAAACAGGTCAATAGTGCCACTACTTAGCATTAGTATGTATGTATTATAGCATCTGAAGGCCTCAGCTGGGATTGGAGCCCCATTTGGCTAGGAAACAACTTTTCTGTAGGTATATATTTCCATTTTAAAACATTTATATGGTGCCAAATGTCTGCTAAGTGCTTTACATTGAAAACCATGGTCTTGGAATGTCTCCCTATACGAATCAAGAACATTGGCACTGGCCAGTTATTTCGTTTGCATTTTAGAATTAAGATATTCAAGGCAGACTGTACTTGGTCAGAGGTTCTCCTTCAGGTGCCCCTTGGTGATCCTCTGTTTCTGCAGTATCTTCCACAGGAGCAGTCTGTTCCATCTCACTGCAAAACAGAAAAGCCACCACATATCTAGGTCATACTGAAAGCTTACAGATCAATAGACCCCATTCTTTGTAAATGTGCATATTTCACGACCAACTGAAGATAGTACCCTTTCTGGAATTGTCTAGATCAGAACTTTTCTGTGATCATAAGAATTCCCAATCTACTGATCACCCAAAAACCACAACAAAACCATTAAACGAGACTAGTTTAGTGTGCTAGTAATACAAGATTATACAGTGGGAAGCACTGGAAATCCTTGGCTGGAGGAAGTGGTATCCACAAATATGTGAAAGCCAGAAGTGTGCATGTTCTCGATATGAGAAAATCAGACCTAATGCGTTTACATGAATTTTCTAGAATCATATATATCTGCCTCACCATCTTGCGGCTCCGATTTCCACAAGTTAGTTGTGTGCTGTGTAATATGTAGTATGCCCTAATAAGCTTTAAATTTGATTTTTAAGTTTCAATAGGTGTTCCCTTGTTTTATGAGAAAAGGTAATCTAGAAATACCCAACTGACCTTCTCTATACCATTTCACATACCTAGTTTCATTTTTAATTCATTTTTGTTGACTTTCAACAGCACTTGGAATGCCCAGATGACCTACATGCTTTTGAGAGACACACAAGGTAAGTGAGGCAATAACTTTTATTGGACCAATTTCTATTGATGGAAGGTACAAACTTTTACCTTAAGACTTTAAGATTACCCAACTGATTTATTGTAAATTACAACTAATTCTACTCTATCTCCCATTTTTAACCCTGAAAAACTTATTTTAAGTTCAAATTATAAAAATATGCATTTGTGAGCTATTAAGGTGTTTATATATGAAGACGTAGCACTTTATTTAGACAACGCAATGAATAAGAATATAATTTAATGGCCATTACAGAGCCTGCTATAAATTAGAAGTTTTGCCTCCCTTCTCCCCACGGTAAGCCAGTTTAGGAGGACCCAGACAAACAACTTAGTCCTGCTATGTCCCCTCGGAGGAAAGCTGTCTTATGCAGTTACCAGAATAATATTTAGTTGAAATAGCAGCACACCTCCAACTGTGTCAAGGGGTAGAAAAGGCGGCTTCTGGTCCTGTTTCCAGTTCAAGGTGATTTCAAACAGAACCAGATAAAGAGTACATAACAATTTAAGACCTAGATACTTGTTAGCATTGTAGAATTCTCTTTAAAATTTACACAGGCCAGTCACAGTGCCCAAGCCCACCATTTACTAAAATAGGAAAGAGAAGTATATTTCACTCTAGTCAAAAGATGACTTGGCCTTAGGCAAACAGATACTTGGAACCCTGCAATAAATGAAGAATCGCCTTCAGGCTAGGATCTACTCAGTAAGCATGAGCAAAGGGGCCATAACAATTAAAGACATGGTGAATGGATAAAGCTTGAAATAAAGGCAAGCCTATTACTTTACAGAAATTATTATAAACTAGAATGGGCACAAATTTGCATATACCTCAGATCATCTTTAACTGTTCCCCAGTTCCGAGCTCCACTTCCACCCCTTTTGTCTTCTGTTCTGATTCCTCTAGAGACAGAAACAGTATTCTTCAAATTAAGAAATTCCTCCCTCATTGATGTACCAAACCAAAAGCAGTATTAAATTGTTGAATATATTCCTTTCCCACTCCAACCCTTCAAACAGATATTGAAATGTTTGAGGTGTGTGTTTCTTACCAATATATTAGATGAGAGCAGTATATACACAAAGCACTTACGTTTTATCACTCCCACTCTGTCGTTCAAATTCCCGTTTCCCTCTTTGGTCATAGCCATTAAGACTTCTGTTCATCCCACCACCTCTTCCTCGGCTTCGCATTCCACCTCTTCCTCCCCCACGACCTCTCATTGGTCTTTCCCGGTCAAATCTGTCAACTGGCCTGAAAGACAAGGAAGATTTCTAGTCAGACTACTTCTATATAAAAGTTAATAGGGGAAAATCTGGTGTCATAGGGATGCTTTAGTGTAGTTGTGATAATCAATCAATCATTATACTCACTATTTCTAGAAGTTTTTAGATCACATCTTACACTACACTGATCTTATGCCCAGACTGATGCTCTTTGTCAGGATTAAAAACAGACAGAAGCTAAATGTGAGCAGAGTTTAAGGTCCGCATTCTTTTATCCTTATGTCAGTAATAGTGACTGTATTAATTGTTTGCTTTTTTCTAATTATTAGGCACTATTACTGCCCTCATATGTTAGATTTGCATGTAGCAGGGTGTATACCAGGACTATAAGAAACTCAAGAGGAGTTCTAGTACAAACCACCACACACAAACGCAGCCATTGCTGACAACAAGCATTGATGAGTTGTACATCTATTATTTTTAGCTACGAGCTAGTTGTATGCATTTGGGCAGAGGTATTTCATGGCGATACAATAAGTGAGCGCTGCCACAGAATTTAAGGGTTAACGGAATTTGGTCTCATTTTGCTTCAGAGTCTATGGGACCTGGATGTACAATTACTTAAAATCTGGTTGGTGATGTTAATACTCACATGCTGAAGTCATGAAATATTAAGTACTATATGTCAGACACTGAAACCAGACTTTTAAACCAATTGCTTAACTACCAAAAAAGCTTGTATTATTCCATTAGAAATGTAACGGACATGAAGACACCAGACCCGTACAACATTCTGACTACTGTATAAATACAGGATAATTTACTGGAGAACTGATAGATTCTTTGTCATATCAGTCTTTATACAGCCAAAACTGGGCTACCACACTACTAGGTGCTAACTAAATAGTACTCCATAAAAGCATCTCAGGACACCAAACTCTTCACTGAGGGCCACCTTGCATCTTCTTAGAAATACATACTTTTCTACTGTGAACTCCACTTGTCTCTCCTTTTCATAGGGACGGTATTCCCTAAAAGATGGTCTCCATTCAGCTTTGTCTTGTTTTACCTCCGTTCCCCTGTTATCATTCCATCCTTGTTGTTCTCCCCTTTTAGGAGCTCGCTTCTGACCTGCACACAAAAAAATTGTGAAGAGTCTAAGCATAAGCAGCATTAATAGATTTAGTTGCAATTACCGGTCTACAGGCTCAAAAGAGAGGACTGTGCCACCATACAGTCCTCTAATTTTGCACTCCTACCAAGTTACAAGCTGGTAGTTGTTGGCCAAACTGTGGTTAAGGTTGCCTAACACTTCTTACGATAAAAGACCATATTTTCTGTTGCTTATAAGTCCAAACTTTAGGCATTCAGGTTGAAATTACCATGCCAGGCATCTGCCCCAGGCTGAAAATTCTGGAGTGTTTTGACTAACATAGTGCAGCCATTTCAGAAAACAAGATTAGGGAAAATACCTCACTTTGCTTATGTTAAAAAAAATTATTACAGGAACTATATCTCCTTTTGTGGGCACCCAGACAGCAAAATGGCAGAACAGCCTGACTGGAACACAGAGGGATGAGGAATGGGCAGAGGGGGAGCAAGGCTGCTGCAGGAGCCAGAGGATGGGGAACAGGAGTCAGGGAGCTAGATGTAAATAGGAACAGAGGGGGACAAAAACAGGCAGATTTATACCCCTTAGAACATATTCTGCCACAACCTGCAATTGAACCCAGGAGTCCTCAGTGTCTACATTCCTCTACAATCAGTAAACAGATGTGAAATCCACTGACAAAGTGTCATCCCTTTCTAGTGGTGGTCCATAGAGAGTGACAATTACTACTGCTGTATGCAGTGTTATTGACACGTTCGTCCCAGGATATTAGAGAGACAAGATGGGCGAGGTATCTTTTATTGGACCAACAGCTACTGGAGTGAAAGACAAGCTTTCGAGCTTACACAGAGCTGAAGCGGAAACTATGTGAAAGCTTCTCTCTCATGCCAACAGCAGTTGGTCCAATAAAAGATATTACCTCACCCACCTTGACTCTAATTATACTGCTATCAGTTACTCCGTTAGTTTAAATGGAAGAAGTCTGTGCAATGGACCTAACCTGCTGATGAAACGTGGGTGTGATTATGATGCCATACAATTTAAAAAAAAACAAAAAAAACATTTTTTTTCTAAATTAGGAAGTTAGATGACAGTATGTAAAGGTTGCAAAGCCAAGCACTCAGGAAATGGCAGAACTGAGGTTGCCCAAGCAATCATAATTTGCTCTCCTTTTATGTATGCACCACGATACAGTCTTTAAAATTACATGATCCCATACTATTTTTCTCATAGGACTCCTACCTTACTCAGTGCAGAATGCATGACGCTCTAGAAATGAATAAAGCTGTTGTATATAGGATCATTGCCTTAATTGTGGCAGAAGTTTGAAGGTGTGTAGTGAATGAGGCAGACGATCACAGAAAGCGAAAGGATGGCCTTGTAGTTAATGCCACCTTGGAGAAATGATTTCTATCCCTGCCTCTGCCACTGAATTCCAATGAGTTAACAGGCAAGTCACTTCAACCAAACTTTTTACAGTTAGTCACTAGTGGTGTCTTTTTTTGAGTGCCCAAAACGTGACCGAAGGCCCAGATACACAGATGTGTTGAACACACAAATGCAACTGAAGTCAATGGAAGATGAGTTCTGGACATATGAAGAGCTATAAAAACCCTAAGTAATCTTAAAACAAATCAGAGCATAGGTATTTCAAGTTGAGCCTCCAAAATTAGTGGTCACTTGGCAATTTTGGCCTCTTTGTTTCAGTACCCTCATTTTGTTGATGAGGGAACTAATACCACCACTGAATCTAACCTGCATGTTGTGAGGATGAATTCATTAATCTTTATGAAGTATTCAGATACCATGAGGAGAGCTGTGACACATGGCCAGAAAGGGTTAAGCGGCTCACAGGCTAATTGACCCAGGTTCAACCTTTAGAGACATGTTAGAAGAGTATGTAAATTGTAATTAGGGCCATT